TCGGCTCCGCCGAGTCTCCCTCTTCCTCCCGGTCTTCTTCTCCCTCGTGTCCATGCGCCCTGCTGTACCCCCGCCTCCACGGCCGCCCCGACCACCGGCCCGCCACGGCGTGCTAGGGTTCGCCGGAGCTTCGGCGAACCCTAGTGCGCCCGCGGCCGCCGTCTTCCCCTCCCACTTCCCGTGACGGCGAGCTCCGCGGCCATGACGCTCCCGCGGTCCCGCCCCTCCCTGGCCCGGCCGCCTCCGCCGCTTCCAGAGCCCCTAGCCGCCTGGCCACCTTCCCCACCGCCTGGCCGGCCGGCCCCTTCTATGCCTGCTGGAGTTGGAGATGGAGGTCGCCGGAACCCTAACGCCGCCGTCTTCTTCATCTCCGGCATGGGCATGGGCGCGGACGCGGGAGGGAGAGGGAGACGCAGGAGGAGGGTCACGTCGTCACGCGATGTCGCGATGGTCGTGTAATAACTTTTGCGTTTAAAGAACTGTGCATACATCGAAACATGTAAGACAACGTCGTCAAGGAACTTAGCAAACTGTTTGTCTTCACTTGACTTCTCAAACCGTTCTGAAAATGACTGCTTCGGCTAGGTAGGTGAAACTGAAGTCGAACTGTGGGGTCATTAGAGGATCAATGCCAGGAGACAACATTTTAATTATTCACAATCAAGGACAGAACAACCATGCTAGTTGCACACTTGTAGCTTCCAGTTTGGGCATGGCCCGTAGAACACAGCATCATATGATTCACGATCTGTAGATGAAAATAAGAATTAGTAGTGTGCACTGAGACCTACATTGGTGTTTAGTTGATTAGAATGCAGGCCAATACTCTTGTCTCACTGCAGGTCTAGTGGAGATATATAGATATAAGTCATGATACAATACAAACAACAAAATGTATTAGTTTAGGATGAGATGAACTTCTACCAATTTCTCCAGCGGCCGGCTGTGTGCAGTTGTATTAATCTATAAAAGACTATAAATTTGAGGGTGTCACATCCGCTATAAACAGTACCCGACCCGATAAGGAACGGTGCCAAGCCTTCTTTTTTTTTTTCCCAAAGTTCACTGTTGCCCGCGGGAAGCGCGGGGTTACCTGCTAGTTTTGTATATATATGGATAAAGGAAACAGGAAGCCGGGGAATGGCAACAGCTGTAAAAGCATTAGATCTGCATGATGTAATTGCATAGATAATAATAAAATCAGAAGTGCAAATCATGTGTTTATTAAGGAATTTTGGATTTCACTTGAGCATTTATGCTAAGACATTACATGATAAAATACTACTTTACAAATCATGATTTTCCATGTTTTTTTTCTGATTTTTTGAAATACATTTGAGTGAGCAGCAGAGAGAGGTAGTGTGTGTACTTGTCAAACTGAAAGTCTTTTTTGGTTCTTAAAAGACTTTGAAGAGGAGCGGTGGATGAAAGCTCGGATCATGGCAAATGATGGGATCTTTTTTGTGTTGTTGATTGACATGCTGAAACCTGACCACTGCAGCCTTGAGTTCATTACGTCTCGAAAGATACGGCTTATAAGCTCAGGGGTCTCAACAAACAGAATCAGGGAAAGCAAGAAAAAATGGAGAAAAAAGCTCAGAGCTCTCAAAAAACAGAAACCGGGCAAGTCCAAACAAAGTGGACCAAATTTTTTTTTTTAAAACAAAAACCAGGCAAGCCAAAACAAAAATGGACAAACCAAAATGGACAAAATTGAAAAAAAAAAAACAGAAACCGGGCAAGCCAAAACAAAAAGGACAAATGGACAAAAATTCAAAAAGGAAAAATGGAGATGCGGGGTATCGATCCCCGTACCTCTCGCATGCTAAGCGAGCGCTCTACCATCTGAGCTACATCCCCTTTTCTCTATCTGTACTACTTAAAGTACTATGAAACTGAAGAAAGTCTCTGTGTTGTATTAAGACCATATGTGACGAAACTCTATTCCAACTTATATCCAGATTTATCGATTTGCTTGAAGTTTACTAGAACATCAGGCGCCCGTGACTTCTCTTCCACAACTTGAATTTTAGCATGTCCATTGGAGATTTGCTTCATTCATCAACAGCAAATAACAATTCCAAATTGAACTGTGCATACTTCCAATAGGATTCAAACAAAATTCTGAAAATTATATTTATGCTCATACATTTCACTCTATCCCATATCCTAGAGTTGTTGAGAAAAAACATTTGTTTGTTAGGAATAATTCATCCTTTTGTTTGTAAATTACCATAAAATAACTGTAGTAATTTTATGTTTTGTCAAAAAATTCTATAATTTTGCATATTAACATGATTTTGTTACATAATCTTTATATAAAAAAACTTAAATGATTTTAACAAAGTGGCAGTATACATGTTCACAAATTGATACAACTAACACACACTTATATGTCAACATATGAAAGATATGTTTAGTTGTCAACAATGTATACTATAATTTTATTGAATGAGAAAATGACCAAAACAAAAGTTGTAGATCTTGATGAGTTCTAAATCTTTGTTATTAACAAATTTTTCATTTGAAATTATTTACTATTACAAAATTTTGTTGAAAGCTCTCATATTTTGAAATTCAAATTTTGAATTGTTCAAATAAAATTGGATGGAGAAATGACCAAAATAAGAGTTGTAGATCTCGATGAGTTCTACAACTTTGTTGTTGACAATTTTTTCATTTAAAATTTACTATTACAAAATTCTGTTGAAAAGCTCTTATATTTTGAAATTCAAAATTTTGAATTGTTTCGAACAATGTCGGAGGGAGAAATAACCAGAATAAGAGTTGTACATCTAGATGAGTTCTTTTCTTACATATATTTCTTTCTAATTTTTGGACATTGTTAGATTGGACGTGTGGCTTAAGTTGTATTATTTTCATACTACAAATAAAAGGAAAATGAAATATTTATTTATATTAATTCATCTGTATTACATACAGCCCATTACTATGTAGACCATCGGCACAAATCGGCCCATCTAAAAAACCCTAGATTATATAACCCATTCCTCTCTCTCCCTAACTTCCCTCTCCCTCCCTCAGCCGCACAACTCTCTCTCTCACGAGCGTGGGGGAGCGGCGCCTCCGACGGCGCACTAGGGTGCGGCACATCCGGCGGGGGCGCAGGGCCTAGAGCCCGGATGGACGCGGGGCGCGGCACGACGACATGGGGTCCCTCCGGCGTTAGCGCGGTTGCGTAGGGTTCCTCCGGCCAAGGACGGATTCAACGGTGGGGCAAGGGGGGGGCTCGAGTCCCCCTGATACCGGAGCAGTGGAGCCCCCTGGAGCCCTATGAATTTTTAGGCAAAGTTCTATGGTGTGGGTAGGACTAAGACTTAAGATCGAGAAACAGTCGGAGATATATGAAGGATCAGTCCCCCTAAAAATTTTTCTGGATCCGCCGCTAGGAGTACTGGACCAACGCTCGATGCTACATGTAACAGGACCATCGCATCCAGCGTCTGCACAGACACAAACACGCACATATAAACGAAGCTGCCATGGTGAAACCTCCAACTCACAGGTTCAGATTCTCTAACTTGCCGAAGGAAAGTCACCGGTGACTTACTCCATGCCCGATGCCCTCCATTTCACATCCAACGGCTGATAGAAGATACAACTTTTCCACCCAAAGCAGCAAAGCTCAGCTGTGGTTTTGGCCCAAATATAGCCCAACTCGGGATTATTATATATGAAACAGAGAAATAACCGATAGTTTTACTAAGTATTTTCATAGCAAAATTAAACGGGAATTGTACTAAGTATTTTTAATGAGCAATACTATGCACCCTGTTTGTTTTGGCTTATTTGACTTTATAAGCCGTACTTTTTCAGCCAACGAACAGCTCACACCAAATCAACCAAGAGTACTTTCAGCCATGACTTATCAGCAAAACAAGCCCAAGCAAACAGGGCGGTGATAACCTCTTTACTTACTAGGAGGTAGTACCTGAAATAAATCTAATCCCTTGATTTTTTATAGTTTTTTGAATTAATTATTAATTAATCTATGAAAAAGAAAAAAGAGATATAGTCAAATCCTCCTCATCAGCACCTTCCTTGCCGCACCTTTTCTTGTGCTCGCCTTTTTCCTTTTTCCGTTCTGCGACTGTGCATAAATATTTTATCCTACTAAAATAACTGATAAAGCATACAATATATCTTGAATGCGAATTCAAATAATCTTTTTTTGATTCACATACTCAGTTAAAAAATATGTTATATACATAAAAAATATCAACATCTAATTAACACGTTAACTGAATCATGAACGTTGACGATGTAAAACATATTACACGCTAACATGAACGTGAACGTCGACGATCTAAAATGTACATGTTATTAACACGTTATATAATTGAGTATGTACGTTAGCTGACTCAATTAAAATATGTTACATAATTGAGATGCTCTTCTAATAAAATACAAGCTGTCATATATATTAAACACGTAAAATGGCCATGTAAAATATCATGTACGCATGTAAAGTTTTTTTTTTCTCTATGTCAGATATTGGACACGCAGAAATTTATAAGATGTAGTGGAGGTGGAGCATAGCATCTAGTTTCAGATTTTCAATGAAATGATTAAAAAGTCTTTTATTTCCGTCAAAAAAAATTCCGCCAAAACAAATTCCGCACATGGGGAGGACAGCCAACCGCGTGCGGCCATATTGAGCCAGAATCACTGGTGCTGAGCTTTGCTATTATGGTAGAAAAGTTACTTTCTTCTTTCAGCTATTGGATGTGGAATGGAGGGCATCGGGCATGGCATAAGTCACCGGTGACTTTCCTACAGCGAGTCAGAGAATCTGAACCCCGACTCACACCCTCGGGCCTCGGGCCCTCGGCCCTCCCCGCCTTCACGCATCAACAGACACCCGTCTTCTTGTTCATAGCGTTCCTCCATCGCGCGGCGACCTCCCGCTCGATCTCCAGCACGCTCTTCTTGGCCACGACGCCGTCGTCCGCCGACTGCGGCGGTGGCGGTGGAGACTCTCACGGCGTGGGTGGCGCGCGCGTCCAGCTCGTGCAGGATCTTCCGGATGTCCGAGACGAGCCGCTCGGAGAGGCTCCGGCTGAAGTCCTCCCTGATGACGACGAGTGCTCCGCGTCCGCCGGCATCGTGTACGCCGGCACGATCCAGCTGAACCGCCGCAGGTTCTCGGAGATGTCGAACACGCTGAACCGGCTGCTGTCCTTGAGCGAGAAGGCCACCAGCGGCACGCCGGTGTCCTTGGACAGGATGTCGAACCGCCCGGTCGCTGCGTTGCCTTCCCGCAGGATCGCGGCGTTCTCCTGGCAGTTCTCCATGATGTTTTTGTACCCCTACATCAGGGAAGTGGCACCAAAATGTAGAGCAGATTGTAGGTTGTTGTTGTTACGACAGCACAAGCGAAAACTGAGAGAAAAATGATATGCTCTGAAGAAGAATGTAGCAGACAGCATCTTTTTGTTCCCTGTACATATATTCAAACTGCTTGATCAAGAGCAGAGAAATAGTACCTCGAAGCCTAGGCGAATGAGTTGATAGTATTGCGCAATGATCTGACTAGAACCTGAAGAAAATTGCCAAGCACTCAATTCCCTGCAACATGAGAAAGACCGAAAAAATGATATGAACCTGTAAAGAAAAAAATGAAAGATACCTTTGGAGAAGTTGAGCGTGAATGTAGGCTGGTCTGTCCCTAGGTAGTTTATATGGAAAATGAGCTCTTCAGGCAAATCCTCCTTGCTCCGCCAAATGACCCAACCGACACCAGCATAAACAAGGCCATACTTGTGCCCGCTGACATTGATGCTCTTCACTAAAGGTAGCCTGAAGTCCCACTCAAGTTCAGGGTAGAGGAAAGGTGCTATGAATCCTCCACTCGCAGCATCGACATGAATAGGCACATTCCCACCTTCATTGCATGCATAAGAGAGTAAACATCTTGACAGAAACTAGAGCAGAGTATGTTGCGTTGGTCTGCTTTGCAGTAAAGGTTTGCTCATATCCATAAGAAAGATAGCGAAGCACATTCTTTTGGATGGTTTCAGGAAAATGTCAACTATAATTGCTTGGACTGACATGGCACTGTTGGCAATGTTCATTTATCATTCACCTAAGGTTCATTTTTTGGAAATAAGTTTTGACTTACCCATGGCCTATGGCACAGTCCATTTGTTACCCAAATAATGCAAGGGTTCATTTTTGGAAATAATCTTGCAGCATTTCTTTCAAGGAATCAGTTTAACAAAGGTTTTGTCTAAAATTTGGAACGACGGCTGACAGTCACTTTGAACCCAAAACATACATTGCCTCAATACTACTGGACCCGTGGACTATTATAATTGCATTCAGAAGATAATACCCTAGAAACCCAGACATAGGGGGGAGATGATGCTACCCAGTTTCCTTGTTCTTTTTTGTAAGAAGGTCGTTCAATAGTTTGACATCTTCAAACTCTCCGGTGAGAGTTGATCCCAAGATTGCCGCAACACAAATAGTGTTCTCATCCACCGTCTCAACAGCCTTGACAGGGTCCATGACATAATATCCTTGGGATAACTTAACCTCTAGTTCTTGTTTACACCAAAATTTGGGAAGAAAAACACAGGAACTCGAAAGCTTTCAACACTGTGTCATCGAGGAATCGATTGCATAAAGATCGATATCGGCTGATTCAGATGTGGCACTAGAATCGGCTCTCTTCGGATGACGTCAGCAGATAACGATAATGAGCTACGGTTGGCGTCGGGAAAGACATGTCGGACTCTAAAAATGGAAAGATTAGAGTCCAAGTTACCTTAAGTTATGAATGTTTTCTTTTATACCAAAGATTGTAATGAGTCGTAATTGAGTATGATTCATGCTTAGGTTCCGGGTATAAATATTGGACCCCGGCTATTGTAAAAGGGACATCTAATCAATCAATACCAATTACTTTTTTCAGCCCCGTGCCAACCCTTAGGAGTAGGAGTAGTGTAGATCTCAGCGAGTTCTTCAATAAGCAGAGCTACATCGGTCCGGTCCGGCCGACCTCCGGCTTGTCTGTAAATACCGTCATGGCTTGTATTTTGGTTTGTAAGGATGCATCGGTTAAGTCCGACCTCCACTGTGAGCTCTAGTATAAGCTAGTTATCGATCATTATCTAGTTCAAGTACGGCTGCATCGGTTAAGTTCGACCTCCACTGCTCGAATTAGATCAATGTCAAGTAATCGGCTCTACCTAAGGGTGGCATTCTTCGGATAAATTCATTAAATTACCGATCTTGCTAATGTTCTTACTGTTATTAGTTTTTTTCAGCAAAATCAACCTGTCCGATCAAGATCGAACTAGATCGGCCTCACATCCTTTTAGTCCCTCGTTTGTTTTTGCCACATTGCGATAATTCTTATTTTAAATGATGGATTACATTTTTATCGGCTGTCCTATTTCGATCTTGATCGCGCATAGTACGCGGTTAAGGCATGTCTGATCTTGAGGAGGTTTACTGGCTATTTAAATCTGGTCTATAGATCGCTATTATAGCTGTAACGATCCAGTCGATCCCCACTGATGGCACTCTAGATCGGAGGATGCTAGTTGGTAGAGTTGCTCTCGATCAAGCATGACCTTGGCTGTTTGCTATGCATGCATCGGCTAAATAGTCGATCGCCTGCACTTTAATGCTCATAGTGTGTTTTCATGATCCTGTTAAATATGAGTAGATCCGTTTTCTTTAAAGATTTAATCTGTTATCTTTATTATGGCTGTCATCGATCCGGTCGAACCCCACTGTTAAAGATGATAGGTTAGATTTGAGTATTTGGTAGGTCTGCTCGTATTGAATAGTCGATTGTTCACATGCTATGATCATTTTTCTACCTGAATCAGCTTTTTTAGCCGATTCGCCTGTGCTTTCACAGATATGACACGCTTTCATGAACCTGTTGAAGTATGGTCGGTTCTATGGGTTTTCTGATTTTAGACTATCATCATCATCATAGCTGCATCGATCCGGTCGAACCTCACTGTTGACGGTAATGGATTAGATCTAGACGGTTCGTGGGCCTGTCTGTATCAAATAGTCGATTGTGTGTGTGGCACATCCTTTTTCTTTTCACTAAATTCATTGGTTCTACACTACGTATTGGTCGAATCTGATTTAGCCAGTGATGTTAATAGCTTAAGGGAAAGAATCATTAAAAGTGGGTACATCGCAGTCGTTATTATAAAAATCAATCACAACCCGCGAGTATTGCAGTCCTTAACAGCCGATTTTCTTCTCGTATCGGCTATTCGATCGATTTTTCCGTCTGGCTATTAGTCGACCACTCACCAGCGTTGCTGAACACGACTAACGTCGTCCGACCACACATTATGACTAGAGGTGGGACAACGATAGTTCGTGGTTGGCGTCACTAGTTTGTGCTCGACAACATTAGTGAGTGGTCGGATATCTTCGTGCCGGAGATTTGGTGGGCTAACACTGGCTGCTCCCGAAGCGGCACACTTGGAACTGTCTGCGCAAGACCGGCATGTTCTACCTTAAATTACTAATAAACTTTCTCTCCTTGTCAATTGCAGGTCAAATTGACTGGCACGCCCTCGGAAGGAATTCGCAGGGTCGACTGGTCCTGCGTTGAAGCCAAGCGGATCTCCAGCCTTGTTTCGTCAAGCAGATCCTTCCGGCTTGCTTTGTGCCAGGCGTATTGACATGTTTTTGCGCCGACAGTTCACTTCAAAATACCTTGCAAATTTCTCCCAGCAAACCTAGGACATTAGAAATCACCAAAGGCATATTTGAGACACTTATGGTGGTTGCAGTCTAGTCAACTTGTCTGACAGTTTTACACAAACAAATACCTGAACATTAGCACCAGTGACAATGTTGGGTTTGTCATATGGTTTCCCCTGTTCCTTCCTCTTGTTTGCCATTTCCTCTTGGATGCTAGACCAGCAAGCATGATTGCTTCTGAGGATCCCACTGTTCCGACTCCGACAGCCGTCTCATCCTCCTTAATCGGTGCGTTGAACAAGTGAGCTATCATATTTACACAGCGGTTCTGCAGAAATAGCAACAGGTAGTAAGCAGATGCACAATAACAACTAACAGAGCAGAACTGTATAAACAAGTCCTAGTTAGGTTCTGCAAATGACCAAAGTCGTAGTATCAGTAACCAGCTATTCACAGTGCGGGTACAATTTAGATGAAAATCAATTTCTGAATATACGTAGTGTATTCCAGAGGGCTTGTAACGATTTGATGTACCGGGCTATCATCTAATATAATTCTTCTTTCGTCGAAAAAAAAGCTGCCGGCGCAACACTAGTTATTGTTAGCCAGACAAGTTAATCACACCTACAAATCATTTGTTATAGCTTCGCCACTACCCATCGTCCATCCTACTGAACCGAACTACTATTGTGCTACAAGTAATTGGTTTGTCCGTCGCTGAAACCAACCAGTTTGCCTGTTAACTGGACATTAAAAGTGCAACAAATACTGATTTCAGGGAGGTCACTCAGACAGTAATCAAAATACAGTCAGTGAATCAAACCAAATTCAGCAAGAAGTCAAAAGACCAGCGCAAAGGTTGAGTTGAAAGAGCATATCTTTATCGTACGAGTGAATAACTGTCAAATTACTTATTCAAACTGGAAATAGGGAACTATCGAGTTTTTCCCTCTTTCAGATCCATGTTTATCACGTGGGGATTCCGTATTCAGGATTTCAGGTCATACAACACATACGGAAAAACTTGAAGCTTTTGGTATGCTGCCATGCTCACACTCTAACTTTTGGAAATATATACGCCTTATGTTTCGTAAAAAAAAATAGCATACTTATCCAAACTCATGTATTTTTCAGTCCAAACCCCAAAACGGCTGGGTACTTGGGATGGTCAGACCCTTCCGTGCTTGGCAACTACTGTACTGGGCACTTCTGACTTTTGAGGCTCCATTTCGACAAATGCATGCATGACTTCATATGGAAACAGGATGGACACGGAAGCAAAAGACTGGCATAACCTTTGACAGTAAGTCGAATTCAGCAAGGACAGACAGAGCAACTTGGCAAGAACTGAATCTGAGCCTTTGTTGGTTGGTGGTGCATGGCAGTACAAGTACCTGGAGTTCGGTGGTGACGGGGTACTCGTCCATGTCGACGTAGTTCTTGTTGATGGAGTCCATGATGAGCTTGTCGCACTCGGGCTCCATCCACGTGGTGACGAAGGACGCCAGGTTCAGGCGCGGGTTGCCGTCCAGCATCAGCTCGTCGTTGATGATCTGGTACGCCGCCTCCCGCGGGATCGACCGCTCCGGCATCCGGTACCTGCAAGCAAGCACCGGATCAGCACACGCACGCAGGCCATCACGAGCAGAGGCGGCGGATCTGGTCGGCACTCGGCACGTCACCGCGGCAGGCGCTCCCGCACGTAGCGCGACGCGAAGGTGGAGGCCACCGCGTCGTCGTCCCGGCTGGAGCTCGCGTGCGAGAGCACCATGGCTGCGCTGCCGTGCCGCTGCACTGTTCTGGGATTCGTTCTCGCCTTTCGGTGGTGGTGGTGGTTTGTGAGTGCTACTGGACTACTGGTACTAGTAAGAGCAGGTACAATAAGCCATGTCAGCTTGGCTTATAGTCAAGACAGCTCAGCAAAATCCTAGGCGGATGAAAGAGAAAAGAGGAGAGAGAACGAGCTTGGCGTCACAGCTTGCGCCGAGCGCCAGCACGAGAAACGATGCCGCAGAGCCGATCAAGCGCCGAACTCGTCGATTACGGAGGCTGTTTGTGGGGGACCCTTTTCTTCTTTCTCGATCCCGTCGCCTCCACGCTTTTTCTCCTCCATACGATTTTCCCCGAAGCGCTCTCCCCGGTGATTTCCCTTCAGCGCCAAATCCTCTCAACCCGGCACCAAATCCTCTCAACTCCGGCGCCAAATCGTCTTCTTCAAGTGACGATTTAAGTTCTCCAAAAAATTTGGTCTATGATTTTCCATCTGCCAGTAACCCTAGCCTTGGAATCGGATGTCTCGCCGGTCGAAGAGAGAGATGGCGCCGCCCGCCAGCCCTTTCCATGTTCCTCTCCGTCCGTCCCCATGCCGCCATGGGCTGCCAGTCCTCCTCCGACTGGTGTTTCCTTACGCCACCAGCTTCCATGAACACCACGATGGGGTCTGCAGCTCTCGGCCCTTGGTGGTGCGGGCCGCCGCTGCCCCAGCAAACTATGCCGTGGTGGCCTGCGCCTAGCTGTGGTGGTGGCACCGCTGCGTCATCTTCCCAACCAGTCCAGAAAGATGACATCGACTCTGACCCAGAGGAATGGCAAGTACCTCCTGCGCACATCTTTGCATCTTTATTTTGGAGATCCTCTCACATTAGTACTGGGGGCCGCCGAGCTCCCCCTCCTCCGTGGTGCCGCGCCATTCCTCTTCCTCCACCCCAACCAGCTACCGCATCATCTTCCCCTTGCAGCGCCTCAGCTTCCGCGCCCTTCCTCCATGGCCCGCCGCCGCCAGAGCAGCCCGGCTTCAGGCCGCCGCCGTGACAGCTGCGGGGCGCTCGTGGCCGGGCCGCCATGGGCAAGCCCTGGCCGTGCTGAGCCTCGCCACGGGTGCACGCTAGCCTCCTGGTACTCCCCCACAGCTCCACCGCTGCCGGCAAGCTCCCCAACGGTCGGATCCGCGAGCTACAGCACCTCCTCTGCTTCCAAACTGCAGTATTGGGGAGATGTTGCTACTGCTGTACTTGTTCATTCATTCTAGTACACTGCAGTATTCTTGGTTTGTTATGCTATAATTTTTTATGAAAATGCAATGCAATGCCATCGTCCTAATATCGTATATGCTAATGTACTAGTATTTAGATTCTAGAGCTTGTTAGTATCTAGCAATATGTATCCTGAATTCCTGAACACATATGAAAGGAATCATGGTTTTCACTGCATTTAGTATTCCAATTTTAGTTGATTTCGTCCCTTTTAAGTCAAGTTATTATAGTCATATGGATTTATTTATCTAGTCTGCAGGGTGTGGATAATCGCCCACCAGCGGTTTCCTCAGCTATTTCAATCACCCATGGAGTCTGCCACTTTCCTAGCCAATCCCACCACATTTAGCTGATGGAAATAGAGGGAAAGGGAGCCCAGCAGTGTCAGCTTCAGGGTCTCATCCGTGACCCCAACCCTTGATCAATTTAGACAATGATGAGGATGATGGAAATGGTGCTAGGATTGACATACGGCTAAAATGGACGAAGCCGGAGGAAGTGCGCTTGGTGAGTTACATTATATATTTGTTTTGTATATTCATGTATGTCTTGTATGGCTAACAACACTAAACTTGCTTGCACTGTAGGTGGTTGCATGGGTGAACAATTCAAACGATCCAATCAATGGCAACGGCAAGAAGATTGATCGGTATTGGGGAGATGTTGCTAATGAGTATAATAGTACCACCCCTAAAAGTAGAAGAAGAACAACAAAGCAATTGAAGGACCACTTTCAGAAAATTAAGAAAAAAGTCACTTGGTTCTGCAACTCATGGAAAGAGGCTACATCAATTTGGCCTAGTGGTCATTCTGATGACAAGACAATGGAGAAGGCCGAAGCTATCTATGAGGAATACAAAGATGGTCCATTTACGTTCAAGCATTGTTGGAAAATTCTACGTGATGAACCAAAGTGGCAAGTGCAACTAGAGGAAGGTGAGCAGTCAAATAAAAGGAATTTGGATACTGAGGGGAGTGTAGGAGAGCTCATGCCTTATTTGGCACAATCTGAAGGTCGTCTAATAGGCAAAAAAAAGGCAAAGAAAGAGGCCAAGAAATGCCCTTCTCAGATGGATGATGTCCTACAGCAGCTTACAAAACTTCAGGGCACAAATAAAAGTCGAGAAAAGATGTTGGAAACCCAGAAACACGTTTCAAGTGAGAAGCTTGAATCAGCTAGACTTAACCATCGTGCAGCCAAAGAAAATGCTAAGTCGGCTATGTTGGAGATGTACAGAGCACTCAGTATGAAAGATACAAGTGCAATGCCTGATGATGTCAGAGTTGAGCACTTGGCATTTATGAGATGTGTGAGGGAGAGTATATTTGGCAAAACTGAATCAGGTAAACTGATAAACTGAATCAGAGTTGAGCACTTGGCATTTATTAATTCTGTAAACTGATATTTTATAACATAATTTTGTTGTACTTCGCTGATGTCATGTTTTTCCTTTTACATATGCAAATGGTGGCTCTTAAAAAGAATCAGGTATGAATTCTGTGGAGTTATTAGTATCACTATTGCAATTAGTACTCCTGGTAACCGTGGAGTTATTACTGTTGATAATCATGCAGTCAACAGTAGTAAATCAGCTTCCTATTTCAATGCATATAAATTAGTACTGCTGATAATCATGCAGTCAACGGTGGTAAATCAACTTCCTATTCCAATGCATACAAATTAGTACTGCTGATAATCATGCAGTCAACGTTAATAAACCACGTTACTCTCTTCTATGCTCCATCTTTATATATTTGCTCTTTCCTCTCCTCTCCTCTCAAACTCATCTTCTTTCTATCTCAAACAACTCTCCCAACTATGTCTGACTCATATTCTTCTTGTTCTTATGATTCTAAGGAACTAGATCTAGCCAACAATATAGAAGAGTATATTGCCCAACAAAATGTCCTAGGCTCCATTGCTACACAGTCGAGGTGTTCTCAGGGGAGTATATGCGTGCTCCCACAGTTGAAGATGTACAACGTCGGTCAATGAGTCTCGTGGCTTTCCTGGCATGTTGGGAAGAATCGATTGCATGAATTGGAGGTGGGAAAATTATCCTACGGCTTGGAAGGGGCAATTTACCCGTGGCGACTATGGAGTCCCAACGATCATCCTAGAAGCAGTTGCTTCACAGGATCTCAGAATATAGCATGCTTTCTTTGGTGTGCCTGATTCTAATAATGACATTAACGTGCTGAATCAATCCCCATTATTCATTGAAGCATTGAAAGGTCAAGCACCTCAAGTTCAGTTTTCTGTTAATGGGAGGCAATATAACACAGGCTACTACCTTGCTGATGGAATATACCCAGAATGGACAGTCTTTGTGAAGTCAATAAAAGCACCTCAGATGGAGAAACACAAAGCTGTATGCATTGAACCAAGAAGGGTGTAGGAAAGATATTGAGCGTGCTTTTGGAGTTTTGCAGTCACGTTTTAATATCGTGCGTCGTCCATCACGTCTGTGGAAAAGGAGGAGTATTGGGAGAATAATGAAAGCTTGTGTCATACTCCACAATATGATAGTCGAAGATGAGAAAGAGATGGTGAAATTTCCTATTGACTTGAATGAGCAAGGTGGATCATCAATTGCTCTACCTCCAGAAGTACAAAAGGGTGGAGGTCCAATTTTCTCTGAAATTTTACGTAGAAGAGCATATCCATCATCAACCAACACATAAACAATTGAAACAAGACTTAATTGAGCATATTTGGCAAAAGTTTAGCAATAGGAGAAATAATTAGCTGTGCATGCAGTATCCTCTTTTTTACATGTAAAATATAACAGTTCACTAGGTTTATTATTGTTTGTCGTACAGTCCATTAATATACTTGTCAATTTTTTATAGGTTCATGTTGGGGGTTCTTCCTGAAGACCTGAGTATCATTGACGGCTGCTGGTCATCAAGAGATATGGCTAAATAAATTGATAAATAGTGGATGCTAGATTTATTTCCAGGTCACTAGTGTACTAGCTGCTCATGGTAATAGCATTCTTTTGTTGATCAAGTTCCAGTTGCAGTGCAGACCATGTTTTGTTCCTTAAACTTTTAAGTTTGTGTCGTCCTTGGTCTGATGCTGCGAATTTGGTTGTAAGAGCCATTATATTTTCCAGTGAATAATATTATTGCTTACTCAACCTGTTTGATTTACTTGTGAATATGTCCATGCAACACAAGTGGCTACATAGATGTATTTAGTGTTGATCCCCTGGTCCAGATGAACTGCAATGACTTAAATATATTGTACAGCCAAGCTGTTGTATCACTTGTCTCTTGTGTTGTCTCTAGATGACATGGACTTGGCTTATAGCCAAGCTTATTGACCTTGCTCTAATAATAATAATAATAAGCCGTGGTGTCTCCTGGCCAACCAGCGGCCTCCGCGCGGCCGCGGCGGACTGAAACGGAACTGCCACTACAGAAAGCAGGAACTGACCGTGGAAGGTGGAGCTCACCGGCGCGGCGTCCCTGCCGGGCCCGGTCGCGGCCACGCTAACCACCATCGTTTTCGCTCCCGATCGACTCAGCTCTCCGCGGTCGATCAAGTTGCTGGGGCGTGAGTGTGCGTACGTGGACTCTTTGCGAACCATGGAGTTCAGTTGTGTGTGGACCGAACTGTGAATGGGGCGCTCCGGCTCTGGAGTGTTCTTGCCTTCTTGGCGAATCATGTACATGTACGCGGCGGTGATGCTACGCTTTCCGCGGTGTAGCGGATCCCACATTAGCTGGGTGTTTTTTTTTAACATTAATTGGCAGGTGCGCTGCCTTTTCATTCAGTAGGAAGCACGTTACTAGCTAGTTGCGGCATTCACTGACACGGGTCACTTGACGTAACGGGGACAGATGTGTCGGCAGTAGAATAGAATGAAAGCCATAAGAACACACGACCTTACAAGTCTCCCAGACTCCCAGTGCAATTACCTGTGCCTTGGGGTTTTCTGCTTTCTCTGTAAAATAAAATTCTAGATTTATTAAAATATATTAATATTTATATATCTAAATAGGTTTATTAGTATAAAAATATATATCATGATTAATCTCATCCATACCTGCATATCATTCTAGTATTAAGTACAAAAATTTTCTTCCTATCACTGCTCTTAGTTTATTGGTCTGTCTTAGTCTGGACTTTCTTTTATGTGTTGTTTTTCTTAGTTTGTGGCTGTGAGTTGCCAAGAATTGTCCTTTGAATATTGGTTATAAACCAAAATCTTGTAATAATTGGCCTGATTTTACCGCAATGTAGATGAAGCCGGGTATGAAATATCCTTTATCTAAAAAAAAATCATCTCTCAGTTATAGTTGCAAAACCTTACCGGCATGGCATCACGCATGTCATGGCATAGCCAGCCGGATCCAAGCCCATGTGCGTCGAAACTTGGCACACACGCATGTGGCTTCATATTTTTTTAGCCTCACAACAGATGTAGGTAATAGCCATCTATTTAAACCGAGTCAATTTCCTAGACGAGATTAGTCTTTTATTACAACTAGTATTTATTACAGGCATCAGAGTTTAAATTCAAATAAGGGCAGGCCAGGTCCAACTAAATGCACCACGATAGTGAGCTAATTATGGGCCTTAGGGCCACATAACATGACGTACGGTTCCGTTGGAACACATGAACAAAAGCTGCTAAGGAGAGAATCTGATAGTTTTGTTTAAAAGTTAGGGAAGTCTAAAAATCCGTTTTTCCGATTGAGGGAGGCAAATCCAAGGTTAGATGGACTTTTTTTTTAAGGGAAAAAAGGTTAGATGGACTTTTTCATGTAAATAAATATTCCTAGAGCTCACAGGCATCCAAATTCGAAAAGCCCGTTGGGCTACTTTCATTCGGATACATCCCAGGCCCAACTCCATGAAATTGTGGTTTGGGTAGGCTCTGGCGTTCTGGGCTTCTGGCCTTTCAGAGACGCAAGAATAAAAAAGCGGAGAGAAGCCCAGGAATCGCCATTATTATCCCGCCATTTCTCCCAAACCCCAATCCCCCTTTCCCGCCAAACCCTTCCTCGCCGCTTCCCGCCCCCTCTCCCATGGCGGCGCCGTCGGCGGCCACGCGCAGGAAACTGCAGCGTAAGTTCCGCCTGCGAGGCTTCACCCTCAAGGTGGACGCCCTCGAGGAGGCCGCCGCCTTCCTTGACCGCTTTCCCGACGCCGAGGACGACGCGCTCGACCTCCTCCTCGACGAGCTCGACAAGGAACCGCGTAAGCTAGCTCTCCCGTTTAGAGGCCCCTGTGCGCCGTTTGCTGTCTGCTGTTGTTATTGTTGGCTGTCGATTTGATGCTTGTGGCTCTGGCCGTCTGTTTGGTGGGCGCAGTGCAGTCGTCGATACTGGATCGGGACGCGGTCCGGCGCGTGGTGGCGCTGCTGGTCGAGGCTGAGGAGGCGCTCGATGCGGCGTCGCCAGCGGTCACAAGCGCAAGGTCTGCGCTGCGGGTGGTGGACGCGTTCCTCGTGCCGCGGTTCCACTACGACCCAATCAAGAAAGTGTTTTACGAGTATGTGAACGCTGCCTTTTCTTTGTGGATCTGGGCAATTCTCCATGGGGACTTGAGAATTGGTTCGTTGTTTTTAGGCTTCTCTATTGAACTGGGGTTAAAGATTGCTATTTTGCCAAATCGGATGCTAAATAGGGATATTGGATTCATGGTTGGGTACCTTATGCCACAAAGGCACTATCTAAGTATCTGATTCGCTTTAATAGCTGCTAATTCGCAGAATAAATGTGTTAGGTTAGTTTGAGTATTCTGTTGTGTTTTACAAAGGTGTTAGATGAATCATATTAGGAAATTGCTGCTGAATACTTAGAATTTTCTGGTCATATAGAGCACATCACTTGCTGAAAGAGCTCGTTTTGTGTATAATTTGGCCATACTTTATGAAGTGTACAAGACCCTCATGTTTCTATTTGTTACTCTATGCTGGGATTTTCTATGCATAACAGGCACACAGGCAGATTAGCTGTCCATGGAGAAGCTGGAGATAAAGCTTCCCTTTATAGGGATAGGTATCAAGTGCTGCTTCAGAGGTTGTCTCGTGATAAATATTTCTCTAAGCCAGCTTTTGACACAGTTGCGACCGAAGATAGTAGTTGTGAGGTATTTCTCCCTGCTATGTTGTATCTGTCTATTATAGATTGATTTCTTTGATCCTTTTGACTTAAATCGAATCCTGCAAACAGTATTCATGACGCCTTTCTTTTCAATTTGTTGTATGTTTGTTAGTCTTTCTATGTGGAGTTGCTTATATGTTTTCTTTTCTTTTTTTCATGCAGATAACTTCTATACAGTCGCTAATTGGGTGCACTGGACGGAGATGGATTATGGGGGTCATTTCGCAGTTGGAGGAGCGACAGTTCTACTTGGAGGATCTTACTGGAGCAGTTCCAATTGACTTATCAAACGCCATATCCTAAGAAATTTAGCACTGATGGCTAGTTACTATTACTTGTTAATAATGCATAACAAACTTTCTACATCTTTTCTTTGTCAAATAAAATGAGTCAACATTAAACTTTCTACCTGTGAAGGATGGTGTACCAAGGAATTTCCTCTTGTTTTATCTGTATGGATTTCGAGATTTTTGAGAAAGTACCACTACTTTCCTTAACATAGAACACAAAATCACGTCAGGTTTTTTCGTTGAAAATACTGTAATCGTAGCCGAAGGTGAGCTACTTTCAAATGGCATTTTCCAGGTCTGTAGTTCTCATTTCCTAGAAAAGTTTCAAACCTTTTCCGTATTATCAATTCTATTGCAACTATGTTCAAATCATGCACAGGTAAATACATGTGGATTTCCTCCCCTGGAGGACAGGGAAGCGTCCGTTTCATTGCTCATGGGTCTTGATTTCTTTGGGGGAGGTGTAATACCAACTGAAGAAGCAGTAAGTCCAAATGTCCAATAGCTTCATTCCAGATGTTGAACAATTAGGTCTTGTCAAAAACATCTTTACTGATAATTTTGGGTACCATTGATATCAAACAGC